GCCCATGAAACACAGGATTGACAGTCATGTGCAAGGCACTTATATTATCACAGTGGAGGATTGGTGGATTGGGGATGTCAATACCAATATCTCGGAGTAGATAAGTTAGCCAAGTTATCTCAGCTGTTGTAGATGCCATCGATTTATATTCAGCTTCTGCACTTGAAAGAGAAACAGTTGGTTGTTTCTTTGCACACCAAGAAATGCAATTTCCTCCAAGGAAGGTGCAATATCTTGTTGTAGAGCGATGAGTAATAGGACAACCTGCCCAATCAGCATCAGAAAAGGCATAAAGAGTGAAAGTAGCTTGTGAAGTAATATTTAATCCCAAATCAATAGTACCATTTATGTAACGTAAAATTCGTTTAACTATTCGAAAATGCCCCATGGTTGGTTCATGCATAAATTGACATGCAAAGTTAACAGCATATGAGATGTCAGGACGAGTCAAAGTTAAGTACTGTAAGCCACCTACTATACTTCTATAGAAAGTGGGATCATGGAACAACTTATCATCAGTTATGGCTCGATCCTTGGTTGCCATTGGTGTTGATATAGGCTTACACCCATCCATTTTGGCTTGGTGGAGGAGATCTTTTGCATATTTTGCTTGACAAAGAAATAACCCATTTTTGGTTGTGTGGGCTTCTATTCCAAGAAAATAATGGATAGATCCAAGGTCCTTGATAGCAAATTCACGACCAAGTTCTTTAAGAAACCACTGCACAAGATTAGAATTATCTCCAGTTAAAAGCATATCATCAACATAAATTAAAAGTAAGAGTGTACCTTGTGATGAGTGGCAAATAAAAAGTGAAGGGTCAGCGATGCTACAAAAGAAACCAAAATTTAATAAAAATTTGCTTAAACGATCAAACCAGGCTCTTGGAGCTTGCTTAAGTCCATATAAAGCTTTCTTCAGGCGGCACACATGAGAAGGATGCACAGAGTCAATGAAGCCAGGAGGTTGCTCCATATATACTGGTTCAGAAAGATACCCATGGAGGAATGCATTCTTAACATCAAGTTGTCGAATTGTCCAATCTTTCATGCATGCCGTAGTGATGACAGTGCGTATGCTTGCTGGTTTGACAACTGGAGAGAAGGTTTCTAAGAAGTCAAGCCCTTCAATTTGGTGAAATCCCTTGGCAACCAATCGAGCTTTCAAGCGATCCAAGTTCCCATCAGGTTTTAACTTGGTTTTAAAAACCCATTTACAACCTACCACATTCATGTGAGCCTCCCTTGGGACAAGATCCCATGTATCATTTATTTTTAAAGCATGTAGTTCTTCATGCATGGCAGCTTTCCACCCATCGTTCTTCAATGCCGATATCACGGTTTTTGGTTCTCTTGGAATTTCTTTGTGAAGATAGGCATATCGAGGGTTCAGCTTAGTGATTCCCCGTTGAGCTCGAGTAACCAAGTTATGAGTGCGAGACAATTCAACTTCTGGTCTGTTGGAACTCGTGAATTGATCATCGGAATTATTTGAAGGGAGGCTTGAATTTTGAGCACCATTTTGATTTGTCTCCATTTCCACGTGTATGGAAGGTAAATCACCAGCATGATGGCTATCTTGAGATGGATTCAATTGTCCAGTGCATGATTTCACATTATGAGATTGAGTCAACTCGGTCGGCTGGCTTATTGTTGATTCCATGGTCTCTGTGGTTGGTGATTCATTAAGCCTGTTGTCATCTTGCGAGCCGCAATTCATTTTCAGTTGTTCAATCGGGGTAGAGCTTTCCTGTGGCAAAGAAATTAACGATGGATCAGAGATGTGAAGGTTTGAGTGATTTACTGTCTCCTGCTCCAGTTGAGTCTTGATCCATTCATTGTATGTGGACAGCTCTCCTCCAATTTTACTTGTATCATAGAGTTCGCATGGATTTTTGAAAGGGAACTGCATTTCATCAAAGACAACATGACGTGAGACAAAGATTTTATTTGTTGGGGGATATAGACATTTATAACCTTTGTGCTTTGTATTGTATCCAAGAAAAATGCATGGAAGTGATTTAGGTTCCAACTTATTCTTTTGGTAATCCCCCAAAAATGGAAAGCACTTGCACCCAAGAACACGTAAGGAGCTATAATCTGGATGCTTCTGAAAAAGACGAAAATATGGTGAGTCCATTTTTAATGTAGGAGATGGCAATCTATTGATTAGAAACACAGCTGTGCTAAAACATTCAACCCAATATTTAGAAGGAATATTAGCATGAAACATCATAGTGAGTCCTAACTCAGTAATATTGCGGTGTTTTCGCTCAGCAACTCCATTTTGTTCTGGTGTCTTTGGACATGCAGATTGATGATGAATGCCTAATTTACCTAACAATGAGGAAAAATTATTACTTCCAAATTCTCCACCTTCATCGCTTTGAAAAATTTTTATTTTGCTACTAAATTGACATGCAACAAACTCATAAAAATGGACAAAACAATCATAGAAGTCTGACTTTTTCTTCAATGGATAAAGCCAAGTAAATCGAGTGCAATCGTCTACAAAAATCACATAATATCGAAAACGATTTGCTGACTTGACAGGGGCAGGACCCCATAAGTCACAATGAATTTTAGAAAAAGGTTGTTCACAATCAGCATCTCTACTAATAAACGGAAGTCGACAAGATTTACCCATCTGACAACTATCACAAATAGTCTTAATACTTTCATTATTATTAATAGTAATAAGCTGATTTTTGGACAAAAAATCAATTATTTTATATTGAGGGTGGCCTAAACGCTGGTGCCATCCTTCTTTATTTGTCTTTCTAAAACGATGAGAGAAGAGGGCTGCATGTCCATTTAGTGCATAAAGTCCTTCTCTTTGACCTCCTCTTGCTACTATTTCTTTTGTTCTTCGGTCCCTGATCACAAATCCAATGTCATTAAACTCAACAGAAAAGGGTAAGTCTTTTGTAAGTTGACTGATAGATAAGAGATTTTTTGTAATTTGTGGAACAAGTAAAACATTCTTTAATGGGATAGAATTATTTTCACCTTTGATTTCTGAATCTCCAACATGTGTAATCATTAATTTTTTTCCATTTCCAATCATCACAGAATCGCTTCCATGGTATGGTTTAATATTAGTTAATTTACCTGGATTTGCAGTCATGTGACCAGAAGCTCCACTGTCAGGATGCCATTCTGAGTCATCATCATCATTTGCAGTAATGGTTAGAGCAGCCAAAGTAGTAGGAGGGTGATCACCTTGATACGCATGATTGAATCTGTTGAAGCATTTCAAGGCAGTATGATTCCTTTTTCCACAAATTTGGCAAGCAACTTCGTTCTTGATTTCACCTACCACCCTTGAACTTGAATTGTTCTTATTTGGACTTGGTGGTGCACTGTGCCAATTTCTTATGCTAGGAAGTGCTTCGTTGGCTTCCTTTCTGAAGTTTGATGTGGCACCTGGAATAAAACCACGACCTTTTGAATTGAAATGGTTATATCCATTACCTCGACGTCGATTCTGACCCCCATTAGTTTGCTTGTTGTAGAAAGCCATTTGAGGGACTTCTTGAGCACTAGAATCATGAAGTTGAGTCCGGGCCTCATGACTCTTAAGAAGTGGCACAAGTTCATGATATGAAGGTACTGGAGGTTTGAGCATTGTTGTCACAAAATTTTCATATTCCTTGCCTAAGCCTTGAAGTAGCCAGAAGACTTTGTTCTTATCCGGCACAGGTTTCCCAATAGCTGCAAGTTCATCACAAGTAGTTTTAAACTTACGAATATATTTGTGGATTGAATCATTACCTTTGCGCATTGTGGTCATTGATTGATTCAATTGAAACTCTTGCTCTTGTGAAGAGTGTGCAAACGCTTCCTCTAAGGCATTCCATATTTCTGCAGACGTTTCAAGACCGACTGCGAGTCCAAGGACCTCCTCACTCAAAGTCCCATTTATCCATCCTCGAAGGAGACGGTCAGATCGTTTCCATGCTGCAAAGTCAGGATTTTGCTGATCTTTGGTCACACCATCATCAGCACTAGTGACACAAGGCTTTGGCATAGGAGTCTCTCCATTAAGAAAGCCATACATGTCTTGACTCTCAACTAAGCCAAGCATTTGGGTACGCCACAAGAGATAATTATTTTGTTTCAAACATAAGGAAATAAAGTTTCCCACGTTCAAAGTTGAAGGATAAGGATATTTGGTGGATGACGCCATTAGAGTTCAAGCTTTTGAGTTCTTCCCCACTGGGCTCTGATACCAGTAAGATAAAATAAGCAAATAGATTTGTGAGGAAAAACCCTTCTACAGGATACCAGAAGTGGTTGTAGTTTTCCATTTATATATAATTACAGGATGAAATTTGAATACTAATTACAATAATTGCAGAAATAGCCGTTGGTTAAAATCACTGATTTGAAGCCTTAATGGTTGATTGCATCTTCCTGTTATCTTGGAGATTAGTTGCTGGATTCTTGCTGGAGTCAATTAATTCTGATTTGCTGTGATTTTGAAAATCAAATGCCTTGCTTGAATCATGGACAGCATTTAAGCTTGATGATCTTTGAACCCCATTTAAACTTGATGCCTTGCTTGAATCATGTTGCCTTGAATCACGGACAGCATTTAAACCTGATGATCTTTGATATTTATCAAATGCGTTTACAGTTACTATCTTGACAGTCTATTTCCTCTTGTTGCCATTCTTCCCATCTTTCAGCCAAGCCGTTACCTTCAAGCATCCTAACCACTTCAGACATCTTTGGTCGATTTGCAGGGTCAGCTCGGGTGCACAAGAGGGCCAATTGGATTAGCTCTGCCACCTCGTCTTGCATGTGGGCATCCTGAAGGTCAGAATCAACCAATGTTTCTAACTTCTTATCTTTCAGAAGCCCTTTTACCTAAAATATATGAAAGAAGAAAAGGAGGAAACAAAAAGGAAAACATTGAGTAGAATACTTTCAGTTGAATAAAACAGTTACTAATATAATGTTTTCTTTTGTCAACTAATATAACTAGTGACATTAGCCCCTTAAAAGCTGCATTTTCCTCAAGAAGTGTATTTAATACAATACTCCTAAAACATAGAAGTAAAACACAAGGGTAGGTGGCCAAGAAAGAAAAACACACATACACAAGGGTAACATGCAAGAAGTCTACATTTATTTACTTTTACCCCTCTTCACCATGGCTGGGGAAGTATATAGAGGTTTATTAGGACATACTGTAGCTTCAATCTCCTGTCCTTGATTTAAACCAAAAAGAAGCATAGCAATACCTGGAGACTTCAAAAACTCCACAAGGAAAGATAGAACTCAGATTTTAAAATCCACCACCAATCCGAAGCTGGGAAAGAAAGCACATACCCACTCAAGTAACAAGACATCCTCATTGTTAGGACGCCGAACAAGATCAAAAGCTCTCTGTCTAGTGATGATTTCGAGAAGCATGATACCATACCCAAAAACATCGGTTTTCTCTGATGACTTTCCAGTTGAGAAGTACTCGGGGGCTATATGCCCAATTGTGCCACATACAGCAGTGGTGACATGCGTATCTTCCTTACCCATAAGTTTAGCCAGCCTGAAATCTCCAATAGCAGCTTCAAATTCCTCATCCAACAATACATTTTCAGCTTTCACATCACGGTGGATGATCTTAGGGTCACAGTGATCATGCAAATAAGCAAGCCCCCTTGCAGCTCCCAGTGCATTTCGCTTCCTTGTTTTCCAATCAAGTGGTGGTTCCGAATTCGGACGATCTAGAGAATGCATTAAAGGATAACTCAGAGACATCAAAGCTTGAAAACAGTTTCTCTTTTACCTTTTCCCCATAGTTTAAACTACTGAAGTCGGGTTCCATTAATTGCTTGAAATTTCATAGATAAATAAAGCAAAAGAAGAGGACAAAGAGCAGTACCCCTCACACAAGATGCTATACTTCCATTAACCATGAATGGATGGACTAGTAATCGTTCTGTAGTCGTCATGCAAAACCCACGTAGCCGTAACAGATTCCTATGTACAGCCAAGCTGATCATTTGTAACTCTGTTCGGAATTGCTGCTCTGTACTTAGGGTCAACTGCTCTTTAATTCTTTTTACTGCCACTAGATAACCATCAGCCAAGCGACCTTTATAAACCTTACCAAATCCTCCTCTACCCAGAATGTTTTTGTTGCTAAAATTATTTGTTGCAGCTCGTAGTTCTTGAAAAGAAAACCTCTTAAGCTGTCCCAAATGAATATCTGCATCCTCGTTGGCATAAATGAAATTTTTAGAACAAGTGAAGTGCGAGCTAGCCATAATACCGTGTTATCATTTAAAAATTAAAACCATTTTTTGAAAATTGACTAAACTGGTGTGCCTTACAAAATTATCTTGCGTGAATCCGAATGGCCATGACCAAAGTATCAAGAATTACGATGGAGGAACAAAGAAAGACAGTGAAAGCAGCAGTTACTCCAAGAGTTCCCCTAAAGTGACTGTTACCTAGTGAAATGGAATTTTTATGGAAACAAAGGATTTCGATAGTAATGAGCTATGGTTAAACAAAATAACTGACTTCTTTCAATAGATAATATATCTCAAAAAGAAGATTGTAATTACAAGCAGAAATAAATAAATAAATAAATAATTTTTCATGATAGCTCAACACATAATAAAAATGCTATGATGCTATATTATAATAAATAATTCCAAAACATCCTTAACTTTAAAACAATAACCAATACCTGTTTTTTTATAATAGAAATAGGGAGAAATTTGAGGACCTGAAAATCTAGACCAAAATGACACAAATATATTCCTATATAATGTTATAGATAAGGATTATCAGAATGAAAAACAGATAGTTCTGAGGCGTGATCTCACTTTCCTTAAGGATTCAAAAATCCTTCAGGATACAACAGAACTCAAACTCTCTCAAAGATTAGATGTAGAACTCTGACTTTGCATAGGAATTTATATTGATTGAAAAGCCACTACTTGTAGGGATGTATCCCTTCAGAAAGATACCATTTCATAGAGGTACCTTTAGACTTCCAAAAGTTATCCAATATTCAGACATGTCTTTTCAGATTAAAATTTAATAAATTAAATTAAAAATCCGAAAATAAAAAATAAATATTTTGGAAGTCAAGCCCAAGTGTCCATCTTTGACTATATATAAAGGGTAAGACCCAATTTATCTTGGACTTCACTTTATTTATCTATTTGTTGATAACAAATAAGCCTTTATAAATTCCTTTAACTTTCCATATTTTCTTAACGTGGGACCTTAACATTTGCAAACTACTCAACACATAAAGTAAAAGTCAAATATGGTTCTTTTAGTAAAAATCACAATTGAAACCTCATTTCGAGAACGTACGAACCTGGTACATCAAAGAAATTATCTTGTGGTTTCCTTCGCTGCAACCAAGCAAGCACAATTGCGGGAGCAGCAAACAGCAAGGCAGCACCGGCAGCAACTCCCCCAGCAATAGCACCAGTGACACCATTACCTGTAATATGGAATGTGATATTTCAGCTAAATCTCAAACGGTGAATAATTGACTGTTAACAACATTGAAGATGACATTTCATCCCCAAGAAGTAAAATTCTAGGTGGAAAGAGAACCCAGCCCATACATGAATCAAGATCCACTCTCCAACTAGAAGGTTAACATAATCTTCCTAGCCAGAACTAGACCTAAAGGATGCCCACAGCATAATCAAAATAAATTTTAGCATTGGAATCAATGTTACCTTTTAAATTCAACTACATATCTAAGAACATCATTTAGGACCACAATTGGAACACAAAAGGCACAAAAAGCTTACACTACCAAAATTATTTATGCCAATTCTTTTTGGATACAGACCAGGTAGTGAAATAGAAAAGGTTGGTATTATTTGAATGTACCATTCACTTACTAATAGTCGTTTAGAATTACATTAATTATAGAACTTTCAAAAGTTGATGTTACTAGTAAGATATATGAAAAGAAAGAGTATAGATTTCAATTAAATTGAATAAATAAGGGAAAAAAACAGTGAATCCACTATTAAATTAGTGGGGCAATTTGAAATCCACAACCAAACTCAAGGCATGAGCAAATCCGCCCTTGAACTTATTGACATGCTGAATCCGCCCAAATTTAACATGACGTCAGCTTTCCATTTCTGGCATCACTCTGCAGTTAAATTTTTTATTACCTAGCATATTTTTTACTTGTGGCATTGCCATGTCGCATTTAATCCAAGTGGCTTATTTAAACGTAAGAATTTTTTTAATTTTTGTATTAAGAGTATTTTTTTATAATAAATTTATATAAAAAACATAAAATTAAATAATAATTTTAGAGTCAATATCAC